GCCAGGTAGTCTTTCATTTCCGCCATGATAAAAAAAAATGTAAATAATAGCAAAGGATGTACAAATTGTCACTAATTAGTAAGTATGTGAGGTGCTGGCCTGTAAAGAAGAAAACATAGTTAGAACAAAATCATCTCAATTTAGTATTCAGGATGAGAAAATACTATTTGGATAAATATAGTCTGAAATCCCAAAAGATGGGGCTTAAAACTCTCTATTTAGCAAAGCTCTTTGCTTAGCCTTTTCCAATCTGAGTTAGTTTTGAACCGTAACGTGCATGCTGTGTTTCTGACTCAATACAGATGATATGTTGGAGAGGGGCTGAGCTCAGTAGACTGACTGTAATGAGTGCTAGCCACTAATTAGCCTGTTGCTAGGTAAGGCCTCGTCAACAACAACATATCAACGGGGCTTTAGCTCCGTTTTACTCGTGGTGTGTGTGTCCCCCCTCGCATACATACACACAGTGTTGTATCCTCACACACCCCCATTTATATTCATGTGCGCAAACAAGTAAACACACAAAAGCTTTTACATATAACGCTGCAAAAAACGGCATGTCTCATTAGCGTAGCGTAGCTTACAGATCGATGATATCTGATCCTTCTTACAGACTACAATCACAAAAGCTTTTACATATAACGCTGCAAAAAACGGCACTTACCTACAGAAGATTACGTTTGTTATTGTTAGTGTATTCTATAACCCCGAAGGCAGGAGAGACTGAAAAGAGTCAAGGGAAGCTTATAAAAGTTAACAGCATTTAATTACACAAAAGATGTGGTGGTGTACAGTACAAAATGAAATGTGCGAGTGGAGGCGTTCTCCTCATCCGCCCGGTCAGTCCAGGTCACCCGGTAGAAAGAGGTCAATCCTTGGCTTGCTCTTCCTGTTGTCATCGGAGGTCTTCTCCTATTGGTCGGGGGCGGGTCCAATGCAATTTCTGCCTTTTTCTGTTGTTAAATTATATCATTCTGGTGTCTGTGGTCATTTAAACATTCCCTAATAAACGTTATTCAGCGGTAATAAATGAGTGCTAAACCCAGTGTGCTCAGTGTACAACATCACATGTCATTTCACCTTTGATTCACGGTTTGAAAATGCAGCATTTCGCCACATGCTAATGCTAACCGGAAATGAAGAATTTTCAGAATAAAAGTATTAAGTTAATAGTTAGTGAACTTCCGGTTTTTCAGAATAAAACTGATTTAAATTAAATAGTGTATTTAATTCAAATTACGCCATACCAACATTGATTTTAATTTCTAACAATCCCTCCTTACATACCCTTTAAGGTATGTAAATAATATTGAAATCAATTAGTTCTTCATCCGAACATTGCATGGTACATAACTCATAAAAGTAAAAAAATACAAATAAGAATACATATTCATCATAAATATGAAGTTTTTCATAACTTCTAGCTTAAACCTTTAATGTCACTTTGTAAAATAGCAGCAATTAGCTTGGTATGGAAAACGTCTAACTCCCTCCTTTCACATCATAAATCATCTTCTTACTGTATCTGGTGTAAAGGCACTTGTTCTTTTACAAAGTATAAGAAGGCTTAAACTATCTGAAAATAGCTAAATATTACTCTTTATTTACTTTTACTGTGTCTCTGGTGTAATTTATGAATCTCTGCTGGTTCTAGTAGATATAGTTCTCCCCATCCACATTCTTGTTGGTTGTGGGACAGAGGAATAATAATTCAGAACCTGCTGATATTTGAATCTTACTACTGGGCATATGTTACAAACAAAAAACATCTTCATGGTGAACTAAATAAAATCCTTGTAATATTTCTCAAATCTAAATATAACAATGAACTATTCCTGTTTGTGGTAAAGACACACACTAACGTTATGTAATACAATTTCATTATGGATTCAAAAACAACTAAAGTCATGATGCTGTCAGAGTGAATGATTTCCTGAGTGTATCTGTCCTGTAAGGTACGTCATTCTCTGCTTGGATCGTGTGCAGAAATCCCATCGATTGCACCTGGCAATACGGCTTCTACCTGTCTATTATCAAGCTGAAAAATGAATACAGAATTCCAACATACGGTCATCAAATGTCTTTCTATTATGAATTTAAATTAAATGTATATCCCCATAATGAACTAAACAATAAAGTCTATGGCTTTTACTTCTAATTCTTTACCAGGCTAGTTACAATATGTTGTCTAAATTAAATTCGGTATCATTACATTACTATGTTTTAGCTTAACTTAACTGTAATATGTTCTTTCTACATTTCAAACCTCAGTTACTCTAATGTCTGTTAAAATATTACAAAATTGCCTAACTATCACAGGTCAACTTCTTCGGTATTCTATTCTGGAATTACATCTCTCACAGTAGCCCCTTGGCCACTGCTTCTGTGTTACCTGTTATAATTCAATCAATATTTAGAAACATCTCAACATTCATCAAACAGTATCTTATCCCCAGATATGGAGCAGGTTAATTATAAAACTTCAATTCAATTCAATGCTCAGTTTGAACATCTGGGTTGGGGCGGAAGGTTTCTGTCAATCCTTAAAAGAAAAATTTAAATTGTGAATTTTACAGCCATGTTGACATTATACATACTCCCCCCTTTTACACATGAACTCATGTGTAACAAAACCCTGTAATGGGAGGGGAACAAAAAACTGTCAGGTAATTGGTTAGGGACATAACGAACATTATTTACAATTTTACATCAATTATCATTATTTCCACAGTAAACACTTCAGTGAAAAGAAGTGTTCCTCTCCGTCCTTCAGGCCTAAAAGAAACAGAATCTTCAGATTTTAGTTTTACATTTGCAAACCGCCAACTCATGTGGGAGTAAAATATCATCAAGTAGATTAGAAACGGGTCACATGTGCGGTTTCCCCTTTTTGTGGAATTTTTAGGAAACCTCTCGTTTCCCTTGGAGCTCCAAAATAATATGTTAGTCCAAAAACATGCTTGGTTAGTTATTGTTTTAGAATCATGCAGTTACACTGATCACATGCCGGCATTCATTCACACTCACACTGTCTGGTTGTCATGTCAGGTTTGGTCAGGTACACCCCAGAGTCAGTCATGGACAGTGCTTTTGTCACACTGTCAGTCAGGGTCAAAGGTTGTTTGGTCTCGGTCTTTTGGCCATGTCGTGCTCTGCAGAGTCTTTTCAGAGGTATTTCAGCATAGGCGGGTACCCTTTATCTACAAAAATATGTCATATGTGGAGCGCCATTCCTTATTCATTCACGATTTCAACTATGATTTTCAAGATGATTCTAACTTTTCATTGGGACTTCTGCCTCCCACTTTTCCTGAAACTTAATACAAAACTCACTTCCTTAGAGTACTACTACTGCAATTCATTTACACCTAATTAGTATTAAAATGTCTAATGATCTATTTCAGAAACTTGTGTACATAACTATTATCTTGAGTCAAAACATTACTAGGATCTGTGTAGCTCTGCATTTCATAGCTCATTATACTCATTTATCTTTAATTCTGGTTTACTTAAAAAACAATGTTAAACTCTTTAGCAGTGTGTGGAACCTTGGGTGTCCGAACATGCAACAATTACTCCCTCCTTTATCAAGGATTCAAAACAGAAGTCATTTTATATTTCCATCTTAAAGCCCTCTTATGGTAATAACTATGCTACAATGGTGAAATCAATACTTTAGATTGGAATTTTATATTTGGCTTGGCACCAGCTCTCCATTTAACGTTATCCATACAAATAAAGATTTGTCTTATAGAGTGGTTCCTAAAACTATCCTTTTAATGGTGATCAATATTGTAACAAATGAGATCACTACTTTATTCACACGTGAATACAAATCTCTTAAAGAATGATTTGTTAAAAGATTGAAGAATATGGTTCTACTCTGTCATGTCTTCCCCTTTATCCCTCAGTGTGTTTTAGGATGATTCTCATTTTACTTTAATCTGTCTTTACGTATTTATGAAGTTAATTCAAGTTATTTAAATGTGCGTTTTGTGAATAAGTGTGTTTATGTGTAAACTCACTCATTCCCGTTCTCCTTTTCTCCTCCCCTGGTTTTCTCAAGCCGTGACCCCGGCCTCCTCACTTCTAATCGACCATGCCAACTCCTCTGATTCCGTCTTCTCTTCAGTCCATCAGCTGTTGAATCCATCCTGTAACTTTTTTAGGCAGCCATTGGCCCAGTCACATCTGCAGCCCCATCGTGCCACTGTTGTTGCACTGCTTTGCATTTCATCTCCTCCTTTACAGTCTCTCTGCTGTTTTTATGGAGGGCGGATTCTGCTCTTGTGTCCCACACTCGGCTCTTGTGCCAAATCTCGTGGCTCAGCTTGGAACTTCATGCCCTGTCTGAGGGGCTGATGAGAGTATCTCTCTGTATGTCAGCATGCTGTTTGGTTCTGGATGCCACAGGTGGAGATAGTTCTGGCTGCAGTCTTGTTGTTGTTGTTGTTGTTGTTTCAGCTCTGGTTCTCTGTCTGTTCGATGGAGAAGGAGGAGTCTCCTGTTGGGTTAGGTATTTTGTCTGTTTGGAGGGTCGGGATCGTAGCCTTTCTAACTCAGAGGGGGAGTCCAGGTCTCGGGACGCATTACCTATAAGAAGTCTAGCACACTGAGGTTAAATAAATCCAACCCTTTCCACTCTGTCTCTTTCTAATCATACTATCTGTCTTAGTTGTTAAATGCCATCTAAACAACATAATTAATGTCTACTAATGATATTACAAAAACTCACTCTAAAAATTGTTTCATCCATTGCTACATATTTACCCAACACAACTCTGAAATACTTACATGTTTCCAGCATCACATATTCCACACACTACGAAAGAACATCTCCATATTTTCTCCAATATTTTAAATCCCACTGTTATTTAGAACAATAGTAAACCTGCAGAGCACACCAATTGGATCACAGTAATGAAATTTGAATCAAGTGTAGGCCTATGTCTACTTTCCACCATACTTATTACTTTTGCTGAACATTTATTTATATTGTCTAACTTCCTTGTCTATGATGTGCAAACAGTTCGAGTGTAAAATGTGTTTTTCTCAATGTATTTACACTACAGATTCTTGAGTTTACTCATCTCCTGGTGCTGTCGTTGTAAAAAATGTTCAATTCCTTATTGTTTTTTGTACCAGTTTTCCAAAATCAGTTCCAACTGCCGTGCCGTTTCTGGAAAGGTGGCGGTACGGCTACACAATGTGTAAGAAGGTGCCAACATGTTCCTTTTTTAACTTTGATCCGGAGCGCATCTGCAGTGCGTTCTACAACTTCCCATGGTCCACTCCATACAGGTTGCAACAAGTTCATCTTGTGGATTTTTACATTTACCCAATCACCTGATCCAACAGAAATATTCGTCATGGCCCTGGCATATGCTTCCGCCTCAATATTTCTAAAATCTAACGCTGGTTCTCCTCTGTATTGTGAGGTGCTACCTTGTGGTGGATATTGCTGAGTGGGGCAATCTCTGGCCAGATGTCTACAATCTCCACATATGAAGCAGCCATCATCCCTTCTTCCTCTTGATCGTTGCTTTCCTCTCCATTGTCCCTTTTGTTGATGCTGTATGGGAGTGTATACCTGTGCTTGCGGCTGTACTTGGTTAGGAAGATACACAGGTATTTGCTGTTGAATATACTGTGGTGCTTGTGGCTGTACTTGCGTAGGAAGATACACAGGTGTCTGCTGTTGAAGATACTGTGGTGCTTGTGGCTGTACTTGCGTAGGAAGATACACAGGTATTTGCTGTTGAATATACTGTGGTGCTTGTGGCTGTACTTGCGTAGGAAGATACACAGGTGTTTGCTGTTGAAGATACTGTGGTGCTTGTGGCTGTACTTGCGTAGGAAGATACACAGGTGTCTGCTGAACCTGGTTTTGTGGACATACACTTCCTCCTCCGCTTTGTTGAACTGTTGGAGGTGTCCGCCCTGCCTTCTCTGCTAGTATAGCCATCTGATTTGTCGATTTCTTGTTTTTATTAGCTTCGGCATCTTTCTCAGCTACTTGTATCTTCAAAAGTCTTAGTTTTAGTGTTTTAATTTCTTCATCATTTTCCCCCTTTGTTGCCTGGTATTTCATATCGTAGTGAATGAGATGTAGTCTCCATTCTTCAATGGGTTTAGCGTCTAATCCCACCACGTCTCCCAGGCCTGCCTGCACTGATCGGGGAAGGGCTTTAATGACAGCGTTCTTCCACAACATTACAACAGCCGGAGAAACGTCATGCCGTTCTCCAGTGCAGTCCTCCCACACTCCTTCACATCTCTTCAAGAAGGCATGCATTTCTTCCCCCGGTTCTTTTCTCAGGCTGTTGAGGGCATGTAAATTGCGTGTTGTCGGGTAGATGTGACGAATAGCAGCCCAATAATTCGACCTGATATTGTTGAATGAAGTTTCATCTGGGTCGTGCGTGCAATTGGCCTCGGAATCTACTGCTCTTGCCTCTAGTCTTCCTTCTATTCGTCCAAGCAGGGCCCTCATGTCTCCCAAGCACAGGTGGTCTTGGACAGTGTACTTCTCCAGATCAGTAACCCACTTCTGACCTCCTTTCGTGAGTGGAGGTAGCTTTGACACTAATGCTTCCATGTCCCTGTGAGTCCATGATTGGTATTGAAATCCTCCTCTTCCAGCCGCTATCAATGGCATGGAGGTATGTGCACCGGTCTTGGTTCTTTTAGTTGTCTTGGTTCTTCTAGTTTTGGGGCATGTCCCAGGGTAATGTTGCTCGTTTTCGTCACTACTATTATTCTCAGGAGGAGATGCAAAACTGCGTTGTTGCTGTGACTGTTCATGGTATGGGGAGTGTCTACTGGTTTCAGACTGTGTACCGCTGTCGTCATATTCATCTCCCCGTCCATTGGAATAGTCAGGAGAGTAGTTTGTTCTGCGTTTTCTTTGAGTTCTTCGTTCTTCTTGTTCTCTCCTTTGTCTATCTGCCATCATGTCCTGGAATCTTACATCGTCTTGTTGCCTCTCCGCCAGAAGTAGTTGGTATTTATCTTCCTCCCTTTGTCTTTCTGCAATAATGTCATTATGGGCTTCAACTGCCTTCCGTCTTTCTTCAATAATGTCATTATGGGCTTCATCTGCCTTTCGTCTCTCTTCCATTCCTCTGATGAGTTCTGCTTCAATGCTTCTGTTGAGCTCCTCGTCCATTCTTCTGTCGAGTTCCTCCATTCTTCTGTCGAGCTCTTCGTGTCTTCTGTCGAGTTCTGCTTCCATTCTTCTGCCGAGTTCTTCCATCAGCTGGTTGACACTGGATAGGATTCTTACCTCAAACGCCAATTCTTTCTCATTTGGGGCTTGAATCGAAGCTTGGTGAGAAGGGTTGTTCTCTGATATGTCTGGAGGAGACACTTCGGTCAGGCTTGGATACTGCTTTGGAGTTTGGATAAGTGGAGCCTCTTTTGTCATTTCTGCTGTGTCTTCATTTACTGGCAGATCTTCTGCGATGGATGTCAGATGGATTAACAGACATGTAACCCTAACTTTTCTTTTTTCAGCTTTTTTCATAGCGCTTTTAGCTGGTCCATACCAAGGGGTTTGTACGGCTTTGATCCATGCTTTTTCCTGTTGTAGGTATTCAGCATTCTCATGTTCAACTACAGCTTTTCTATGGGCTTCCGTTGGTCCAGGTTGATCATCTGCTGGAATCAATCCTCTCGTTTGCCACTGTTCCAACAGTTTCTCTATTTGGTTCCATGTCTTCTGTCTATGACTTGGACACGTTAAAGCATCTGATCTGATGTTTACTCTCGCCTTAATATCTGCAGTTGTGCCTGGCACTGTGAGTGCTCTTAACTCTGGCGACATGTTTCTTAAGTACACCGATAATATTATTAAGTTTATCAAAATGAATGACTAATCCTCTGAATAGTACCCTTGTATTCTTTATAAAGATATCCTATGTCATCTGAACTTAACTTTAAAATCTTGTAATTTTTTCAATTTTTTTACAGAATTTGGAAAAATAAATTTAAATGTTGTAAAACTGAGATTGGAAAATCAAAATTAGACAAATTAAATTAAAATTTTGAAATTATGCAAATTTTTTAAAATCTGAACAAATAAATAAAAATGAACAGTGTATGGTTTTGACTTTGTAAAAATAGGAATATGGTGCAAATCCAAATAAACCGTGGACAGTGTATACTCAAGTTGAGTTCATGAAATTATGCAAATGTCATAAAATGTGTTAACTACAATACTTCAATTCAAAGAAACCACATGTAATCTTTATCTGTGTGGTGAAGAATGTATTAACTGTAATACTTATTATGTCCGCTAGGGGAGCTGTTTTATTTGTAACTCCTCTCAAATGTATCAACTAGTACTTCCGGTTCATAAACATACTTCCTGTTTATTTCAAAATATAAAGTTCAAAGTACTTTCTTTGAAAAGCATGAAAAACAAAACAACTCAATCTACTCTCAACGTTCATCTACACCATCCCTGTGTATTTAATCAGTAGTTACCGGTTGTATCTTTACTCGAAGTATTTCACCATCTAGTAATGCTAACTGGCTAGCTTAGCAGTATAGCATTAACCGCATGTGACTGGGGGAAGGGGAACAATGGAAACATTCAACATCTGCATATAAATAACCACACTGATTGACAATACAAAACACAATCTTCATTTATCTTAGCTCTAAATTATATAGATGCTGACCCTAAAAGCCGATCTCATACCAATCTTGTACACAATCGTTTCGGCTTAGAAGATCACACAAAAATATACTTTTTGGCTTAAAAACTCCACACAATATACGTTATTAAACCAGACTACGCAGGTTTAACACATCGAACATATAGACTAACATGACTGGACCCAGTCCAGTGTAAAACAGATCAGGTCTGGTACCTACCCAGAGGTATTTAACACAATGTGAACCCTATCCCAGATAACATTCTGCCTCACCAGAAGGTCTTAATATGTAATATTCACATTATCGGGCGGCGCCGAAGATACAACAGAGACGAATAGAAACACTATATACAATCTCCACACCACTCGCAATCACCACGGAATTAAACAGGTAACTGTCTCACCTTTCGTTTAGGCCCAGCCAAAAACTCATTTTCTGCAGGCTAGTGTGATGCTAGTTAGCTTGCAGCATTCCCCTCTCTTCCAGCTCTATCCCGCTTCAGAGCCCACCCAGGGACGCCATGTTAGTGTATTCTATAACCCCGAAGGCAGGAGAGACTGAAAAGAGTCAAGGGAAGCTTATAAAAGTTAACAGCATTTAATTACACAAAAGATGTGGTGGTGTACAGTACAAAATGAAATGTGCGAGTGGAGGCGTTCTCCTCATCCGCCCGGTCAGTCCAGGTCACCCGGTAGAAAGAGGTCAATCCTTGGCTTGCTCTTCCTGTTGTCATCGGAGGTCTTCTCCTATTGGTCGGGGGCGGGTCCAATGCAATTTCTGCCTTTTTCTGTTGTTAAATTATATCATTCTGGTGTCTGTGGTCATTTAAACATTCCCTAATAAACGTTATTCAGCGGTAATAAATGAGTGCTAAACCCAGTGTGCTCAGTGTGCTCAGTGTACAACATCACATGTCATTTCACCTTTGATTCACGGTTTGAAAATGCAGCATTTCGCCACATGCTAATGCTAACCGGAAATGAAGAATTTTCAGAATAAAAGTATTAAGTTAATAGTTAGTGAACTTCCGGTTTTTCAGAATAAAACTGATTTAAATTAAATAGTGTATTTAATTCAAATTACGCCATACCAACATTGATTTTAATTTCTAACATTATTATAACTTACTCAATATGATTTTAGAGGATACAAAATACTAATAAATAGGAGAATAAATACTTGTGTTATCGGCTAGGGCGTGGCTTTACAGCCTTCACACAGATCGCCATTATGGCAGTATGTCTGAACATGTTAGCAAATGCCTGATAATTAAAATAAAAGACAAAGCAAAGACTGCGGAGCGTACAATATAAAATGTTATAAAAACATATAAACACCTAACCGATTACTATTTGGGTTTGAGGCGACATTGATACGGCGAAGCTACATGCTACATGCTACATACTACAAGCTAGAGATAGCTTTATCAGGAAAAACACCGCTAAATAAAAACTTACAGCTTCAAAATTGGATGTGTCCTCACTGGCCTGCTCCCGGATGGTTGGTATTGATCCCGGCAATGCACGTGGCCGTGGCTCATTCCCCTGATAGGTGGAGAGTTGACCAATAAGCGGAGCACGTCTCTTTGTGACGTAGGAAAGTGTTGAAATCTGGATCCGTTTTTTCAGATCCGTTTCAGCCACTTTTTTAGAGATTTGGCGAAGGAGGAAAATAGAGAGGGTTGTGTTTTCTGACACTTGGTGAGTTCCCTGGAACACCGGGGACACATATTCATGTATAAAAGACGTCCAAAGGTGCATTTTGCATGATAGGTCCCCTTTAATGTAGAGGAAAGGAGTGAGCAGAGGGTTGAGTTGTCCATTCTTGTTCTTTTTTCTCTGACTATCTTCCTCCTGAAGACCCTCTCAGACTTTCATTTGCTCGCGCTACTGAAGAGACACGTTACCATGGAAACCAAACAATGGTGTAGGCCTAGCTGTATTGAAGTCCGAGTGGAAACAGTAACATTTGGTGCATTATGTTAGAATGAAACAAATCAGATTTAGTCAGAAATCGGGAGAAATGCGGGATAAATATGACCCCGCGAGGAAAACGAGAGTCTCCCGCGAAAATCGGGAGGGTTGGCAAGTAGGCTGTGTCACATACACACGCACTTTTTGCCCCCCCACTTCTGAAATGAATCCGGCGCCGCTGATAGGACACCAAACCAACTGAGACCCGTCTGTCCGCCGCATCTACGCACTGTACAACACACACACCTACACACTGTACCACACGCTGAAAAAATGGGAAACAGCAGGTCTTTGAATTTACAAAATTAAATTAGTGTATGCAACGCAATTTATTTATATTCCTCCAGTGAACTTGATTCAATCAAATAATCCTAATGTGTTTATGGAGAATGTTACATTTATTAGATTACTTTACATCGACTGAATGTGATTGAATTGAAAAATTAACATCAATGCGATCGAGTTTGGTCACCACCGGAAATAGTATATTGTAGTGCAGAGAGACGGGAGTCGGAGGCGGGGTATCAAAGTTACAAGCTCTACTTTTATTTAGCATCTGAACACACATGTAAACAACTTCATGCCCGGGAAGCGAAGACCGGCGGAAACAGGAAGTCCGGCTCACTCAAATGTCCGTGCGGAACAATACCCCAACCCATAGATCCGTGGGTGAATAATGTCAATCACCACACAAGCCCCCCCAGTATTCACCCATAGTCAAAATCCTCGTGCCTGGGAGGAAGTACCACCCGACCCCGGCGCGTACGGACCACAGGGGCCGAGGCGGGCGGGGCCACAGGCGAGGGCAGGGGCGCCAACGAGGGCATCCCCACAGGGGGCGGGGGGCGGGCCATGGGAGGGCGGCCCCGACGTGGGGGCAGAGCCAACTCCAACGACCTGGAAATGTCCACGTGAGCAGGCTTAATCCGATCAACAGACACAGTCTCAGGCCTGCCACCAACGTCCACCACCAGGCTCTTGTCCCCGTGACGTATGACCCTGAACGGACCGTCGTAAGGGGGCCGCAGGGGACCGCGGTGGGCGTCGTGGCGAATAAAAACGAAATCGGCCGACCGTAATCCGGGAGACACCCGGAAAGATGGGTTGCTGTGCTGCGACGTGGGGACGGGCGTGAATGTCCCGGCGGTCTCCAGCAGGGAGGAGCGCTGCCCGGCTGCAGACCAGGGCACAGTGGCGGTGGGAATGAATTCCCCAGGGCCCCGTAGCATCTGACCATAGACGAGCTCCGCCGACGAGGACTGCAGGTCTTCTTTGGGGGCACACCTGAGGCCGAGCATAACCCACGGGAGCTTATCCACCCAGTTGCCGTCTATCAAGCCGGCACGCAGTGACGCCTTCATGGACCGGTGAAACCGCTCACACAATCCGTTAGCCTGGGGGTGATATGCAGTGGTGCGGTGCAGCTTGACCCCCAAACCCACAGCAACAGCGTTGCACAGCTCCGAGGTGAACTGAGAACCGCGGTCAGAGGAGAGGTCAGACGGGGTCCCGAATCGCGCCACCCACGTGCCGATGAAAGCGCGGGCGACGTCGGAAGCTGATGTTGAGGCGAGGGGAACGACCTCTGGGCCAGCGGGTCGTCCTGTCCACCATCGTAAACAGGTAAGTGAAACCGTGAGAGGGGGGAAGCGGACCTACGAGGTTGACATTGACATGGTCAAACCTCCTCTCAGGAACCGCAAAAAGTTCAAAAGGGGCCCTAGTATGGCGGTGGACTTTGGCCCGTTGACAGGCCACGCACGAGTCGACCCAGGACCTCACGTCCTTCTTAAGCCCCTGCCACACGAACTTCTGTGACAACAACTTCACGGACGGCTTCCTACCGGGGTGGGAAAGATTGTGAACCGCCTCAAAAATGGGTCGACGCCAGTCCGCAGGGACCAGCGGTCGAGGCTGGCCCGTGGAGACGTCACACCACAGCTTTGCGCCAGAGTCACCGACCGTGACCTCCTCCAGGCGTAATCCCGTGACCGAGGCCTTGAGGGTCTGGACCCCGTGGTCAGAGGCCTGGTCAGCGCCCATGCGGAGGTAATCGAGGCCCAGCTGCACAGCTCCGATGACCGCTCTGGAGAGGCAGTCCGCGACCACGTTAGCCTTGCCAGCGATGTGTCGTATGTCCGTGGTGTACTCGGAGATGTACGAAAGCTGGCGTTGCTGTCGGGCGGACCACGGCTCAGCCACCTTGGACATGCAGAAGGTCAGTGGCTTGTGATCCACGAACGCCGCAAACTCCCGGCCTTC